TGACATCTTTAACTGAAGTGTTTCAGTAACTCTGATGCATGTTATGTATGGTTCTGCAGTGACTGATCGCATCCTAGAGCGAGATCCGAAAGAGGAGATCATGAAAGCCTTTAAGCTGTTTGATGATGACGAATCAGGAAAGATCAGTTTGAGGAACCTGAGACGTGTGGCTCGGGAACTCGGGGAGAATATCAGCGATGAAGAGCTCCGCAGCATGATCGAGGAGTTTGATACTGACGGAGATGGTGAAAGTAAGTCAGCACTTGCTCTTTTCTTTGACATTGATAATTATTGCTATACATTTAATCCCTAGAAGGGAAATGCGTTCGGTTTGTTTAAGTGAGCAGGAGTGGATGAGCGGGACTTTTGTTTGTTTTGGTGTACGTACAAAAGAGGCGTATGAACACCATTTATAAGGTGCTTGTATGGAGACATATTTATCATCAAGTAGTTTTAGAAAAATACATATCTTAATAGTTTTTTATCTTTACCGTGTACGGCTCTGGCTACTGAAGCTCCTCTGAAAAAGAAAGCTTCAAATCTCAAAAAATTGTTTGTGGTTCTGTTAAGCGCTATTGAGTCAATCATTCTTTAAACTTACTTAATAATGCCTTCATGAGATTTTAACCATTAGAGCAAAATTACTCATAACCATCTCACAGACGTACCATTATGTTCAGCTACTTTCAGGACCATTGATTTTACTCCTATTGATCTTTGAGTTAAATTATGCAATTACTTTACTACTATTACTACTTTAAATCTGAAATATACTCAAATTTTAGAGCCAGTTAGGGGTTAAAGTGGGATTCAGCTGGTGGGGGAACCCTTAAATTGGTTGTAATGGCTTAATGTGGGGAAAAGACTCATAACTCACAATAATTTCTACTGAGACTTCAGTAGATTTTCTTAGTGTAAAGGCTGTGATCAGCTGATCAGATGTACACAACTGAATTCAACCAGATGTAAGCAGATATTTTATGAGTTGTCCTGGCTGATTTCCATCTTCTATGCTGATAGTAAATTATTTAAGCTGTCTTTTTCCTATACGGTATAAAGTTAGTATGAAGGTAGAATTAAGTCAGTGGATTTCAGCATCATCAGTGAAAATTCATGTGAATTTCTGCTACACTGAATGTAACCTCACACTGACCATGGACCCACAGCCAGTGTGCGCTAGTCACACACTGTTCTTTACTTTAAATCCATCACAGTACAGCAAACTAACTTGTTTACCTGCACTAACCTGCAGAGGATTTTCATGCAACTTTTAAATAACACAACAGTTAGTCTATCTCAGTTTGATTTGCAGCATGTTTCACAATATGAAAAAACATAATGTCACATGTACAGACCTGATATCTGATTTAGAAACATGAGGACTGACATGGAAGCTTTTAAATCTGCATAATCTGCATTTAAATCAAGTACCATTGAGCAGTCCTTACCTTTAAATCTAAGCTCTCTTCTTCCTCTCCTGTCCTGTCTTTCTAATCTTTCTCCATCTTTCAGTGAAGTTAGCGCTCTTTCTTTTATCTTCCCTGTGAAACACAGCAGCTGGACCTGTAGCTAGCAACACACTGTGAGACAAACTGCATACAGTTTGTGTGTTTGTTGACCTGATAGAAACCTTGCATTTGAAATTACCTGACACAAATAGCTTGACCCAAATACATTAAAGCAAAAGTAATGAACCTGTTTTGAGTAAAAGTAAAAAGAAGTTGGAAAGATAAATACTGAAGCAGAGTAAAGATACCTGAAAATTGTACTTAAGCACAGTAACAACGTATTTTTTACTTTGTTAATACTTCCTACTTTTGGAAGCTAGGTTGCACAGAGAGATGGGGGTGCTGGATTTAAATGCCTGCGTGTCAGGAAAATGTGAAGAAACAAGCGAAAAAGTAAATTAAGCAGCATCTGGCTGCATTTCAGTGATTTTGTAGACTGCAAAGCTTAGTGTAGAATTGATTAAATGGCTGAAGTGATACCCTTTCCATTTTCATTGTAGGGGGACAAAAGGTTTCAAACTGAATGGCAGAGATGTAGAAATGTCTGCATGTACCACTTTTTTTTTTTTAAAACCACTACAGTTTAAAACAAACAAACAAAAAACCCTACGGGCAATTAGCTACCAGAACCATTTCTGTAGTTTTATTTCTTACAATTTAAGTCCAAAGAGTCCTGTTGACAGATTTCTTTCTTTGTCACAGCAGCTTTTTTTTGTCATGTAAAAGAACAGTAAATTATGTAACATGTTCACACTGACAGAAAAAGGAGTTTCACAGCTCCAGCCCACTTAAGGTCAAAGTGGGCTGAACAGAGAAACTGTAGTCAAAAGAAAAGAATTTAAATAAATGAGATAAAAAGATTACAAGAAATTCATATATACACATACATGCAAAAAAAGGGAAGTTTTTTTTTGTATTTTAGAGAACTGAAACTGACATTTTTAAAACTTTTTTTCTTTTGTGTTTGGTGCTTTCATTGACTGACTGGACTTGTTTACCCCCTTTCCAGTAAACCAGGAGGAGTTCCTTACAATTATGGGCGGGGAGTCCTGATGAGGGATTTCTCTGTTGCTGAGGACTTCTTGGTTGGATTGGTCGTCCAATTTGTGAGCAGTTAAGCGACTTGACTGTCAACAAGGACGCACAGCTTCCTCTGAAGCATCGCAGGTGGACAGAAGTTATTTCTTTGACCCTGAGGGTTGTACTTGAGTCATTCCATAAAAGTACTGAACTGTGTGACAGATTTAAGGTCAGCCAAACTCATTTCTTATTGAAGGTGAAAGTTAAAGTATCAATATCACGCTAGTCTTTAAAATTAGCTAATTGTTGTTGGGTTTTTTCCCCCATGTCATAACATCTTTGTTAAATATTTAATGTGTTTTTCAACCATTTCACACCTTTCTGTAATTAGATCTTGTAAAAAGATCTTTTCACTCTTTTATAAACACATTAATTTACTGTTGGGGAAAATATAGACAAATAGGAGTAAATGTTGTTGCTTTTATCAGAAGTGTCTGTATATTGTAAAGGACACATATTTCATACATGGCTATTTTGAATGGTTGTATTTCCAGTTTACATGTGCATGTTCAAGTGTTCTATTTATTTTTGACACAATAAACTGGTTTCCCAGCAAGTCGCACCATTTTTACCATTTTACTTTCTCTGAGTGCTGGTAAGTGTGTCTCTGTTGTGGGACCTAGTTTGTAGTGATGGCCAAATGAAGCCTTGTGAAGTATTGAAGCTTTTATTGAAAAATGGTTCATCACTCGAACCTTTTCAACACAGTCATCTTTAGTGACATCTGGTGGCCTTAAATATGATGAACACCTTAAGTCTACAACTTACAATGAACTGCTTCATTATGATTGCCCACTCTACAGCGCTGAATTGACAGCTTCTGTTTGATATCATGTGACAGCTCTGTCTGATATTGGGCTGATATGGTGCTTTGTTGAAACATGTGCCATAGTGTGTTCTGCTTTTGCTTGTGACTTTAAGTTTTTTACTAATAAAAACAAACAAACACTATATATAAGATGTACAACACAACCTTATAATAGGTGTCTTGTGCTGTGAGGTCCCTGGCTCCACGTGATTATATAATTAGCCAATGGACAAGTACACTTATATATATAATATACTATAACTTCTATAAT